GGTCTGCGTAGACTGCCAATACAGTCCATCAGAAGTTCTCTAAGAAGAGGGTCTGTTGCTGAACTGAACCTCACTGTTTGAGCTACGCTGGCTGACCAGGGAACTTCTTCACCTTTTCCCACCTCTTGGGCTACAGGCAGGCATACCCTTTCCAAGCTTTTCTGTGGGTCCTGGGGGTCGAAACTGAGTTTCTCATGCTCACATAGAAGGTGCTCTTACCAACCAAACCATCTCTTCAGCCCCAAATGTCTGTCTTTACCTCGTGTTTCCAGTTCAAAGTTGCAGTTGAAATGGCGTCAGATAGAACTAGCGAGGGAGGGCTTTTATAAGCAGGGAGGCACATCACACAAACCCACTGTTTTCTGTGCTCACACTGTTTACAGTTTCGGCTGACTGGTTTTGGGATCTAAATATGTCCGTGGGTTTACATGAATTATTGACAGTATAGTCTCATCTCCTTGGCCTCTTTCTACTCACCTGCCTGTCTCCCTGTATGTGTGCATTTTCTCTTTTTGTCTCCGGTCAGTCTGTCACCATTGTTTATTATACTTTTTTTTTCAGATTTATTCGTTCTTTTTTGATGTCTCTGTTTTATATATCATTGATTTCTGTTCCAAAAATATCCTCCCATAATTTTTCTAAGTTATTTTAGCCCTTATTTTCCAATGTAAACTTGAAACTGTATTTTTCTCTTGAGTGTCACTTTCACTGTGTATTTTTTCATTACCAGAGTGCTTTTAATTTCTGTTGAAGTTCTCATCTTTCACAGATGGGTTTTTTGCAAGTGCTTTCAAAATACAATATTGGAAGACATTTGGTCCTCCAATATGGTATAGATATTACATATTCTTTGAAAATTGTTAACAGTATTCTTGTTTGGTATACAGTTGTCTTTTATATATCTTCAAAGAAAGTAAGCGCTAATATTTCTCTGCACATTTTTTGCTTTGATTCCATGACCTTGTATACCAACACATGCCTGCCCCTGCCTTCTGTTTTTGTTTGTTTGTTTTGGTTTTGTTTTTCAAGACGGGGTTTCTCTGTGTAGCCCTGGCTGTCCTGCAACTCACTCTGTAGACCAGGCTGGCCTCGAACTCTGGAAAGCTGCCTGCCTCTGGCTCCTGATGTTGGAAGTAAAGATGTCCACTGTGCCGACTTCATCTTAGTGTTGTCGGATGGCGATAGAGCCTTCGTTTAGAATTGGCCCTGCTCTTGTTTCCGTGCTTTCATCTTCAGACTTCCTTCTTTTTCCTCCCTTCCGAAAATAAACCATAAGGGTGTGTGTGTGTGTGTGTGTGTGTGTGTGTGTGTGTGTGTGTGTGTGTGTAAGTGTAAGAACAGTTTGTGGGAGTTAGTTCTTTCTTTCTACTATGTACCCACATAGTGAATTAACTTTCAGGCTTAGTGGCAAGTGCCTTCACCTGCTAAACTATCTCAACAGCCTTCAGTTTTCTTTTTTTGTGCTTCATGTGTAAATGCCTCTTAAATATCATAAAGTGTGATTTAAAAAGATAATTTGAATTTATTTTATGTGTATAGGTGCTTTGGCCTACATGCATGTCATGCACCACATGAGTGCTTGTGTCCTTAGTGGCCAGAAAAGGGGGTTGGGTGTTGGGAATTGAACATGAGTTCTCTGCAAGAGAATCCATGCAAGAGAAATCACTGCTCTAAACTTGTGAGCTAATAATAATAGTACTTTAGCCTTGACTTTTAAAAAAATATGTTCCAAGTTTGCCCTTTGGGGGCAGAATTATTTAGAGCATTTTCTTAGGATTGCCAATCTATTGGGTAATTTCTATCACTGATTTTTGATTTGCATTTCTATCATCTATCTATCTATCTATATTTACTTATGGGGGATCTCATAAGCTCAGGCTAGACTTGAGCTCATTTTATAGCTGAGGATGATACTAAACTTCTGATCCTCTGGCTTCTGCCTCCTTTAGATTAGTGGTTCTCAACCTGTGCATCAAGACCCCTTTGATATCTTGCATATCAGATATTTACATCACAATTCATACCAGTAACAAAATTACAGTTATGAAGTAGCAACGAAGTAATTTTGTGGTTGGAGGTCACCACAACATGAGGAAGTGTATTAAAGGGTTGCAACATTAGGAAGGTTGAGAATCACTGCTTTAGAACAAGTCAATTACAGGTAAGTTTCTGCAGAGAGGGATCTCTTGTAACTGGAGTGACAGATGGTTGTGAGTTGCCATGTAGGTACTAGGAGTTGAACCCAGATACTCTTGAAGAACAGGCAGTACTCTTGACCTCTGAGCTGTCTCTCCAGCCTGTTTGTTTGTTTGCTTGCTTGTTTGCTTGCTTGCCTGCTTGCCTGCTTTGAGACAGGGTTTCATGTATCTCAGGCTGGCCTCTACCTCACTATGTAGCAGAGGATGACCTTGAACCAGGAATCCTCCTGGTTACACCTCCTGAGTGCTTGGATTGCAGATATATGCCATCATGCCCAGTTTTATGCTGTGGTTGGGTATGAAACCCAGGGCCTTGAGGATGCTGGGAAAGTG